ACCTACTAATTTATTATTTTTATTATTAAATATACAACAATGATAACAGATACCACTATAAAGGACAACACGAATATACTAAAATCAAAATCACTTCGGAAATCATAACTAAAATTCCGCTCTACACCGCACGCCTATGATTTCCGTCAGACAAATAAAATAAAATTTCGGCGCCGCCGTTTAATGACAGGATGGTATATTTCAAGCTAACAAAGTAACATTACAGTGTTTCAGAAAACAAAACAACTTTATAGGTAGTATAAAAGGTAATTTTGGTTACTCTGATTCAATCCAATATTCGCTTCCAGATTTCTCAAATACCGCCTTCGAATTTTAATGGCCTACCAGCCTGAATTCCTGCCTAAAATTGCGAATCCAATCGTCACACCATTCACTATTTATCTTATCTTAATGATGATTCTTGCTTCTTATAATAACACTCTAATGCAATCATTGCAACTAACGTAATTATAATTTTCAATTACATCTTCTCTGTGGATAATGTCCTTTATTCGTATTTGGTTCTATCTCAAATTGCGATTTCAACGATGTTTATATATTAACACAGAATTATTGCAATAGGTAACTAAATGCAGCGAACTAAAATGAATGCACATGACTTAACAACTGCCGCCAATTTTGGTTCACGTTTTTAGGAAATGAACATTGGACAGGCGGTGTTCTGCATTTTCTTGTATACTGTTGCGAAAACTCTGTATCGCGGTATGATTTGGAGTAAAAATAATAGGCGCGTATTGTAACTTTATATCCTACTATGGTATAGAGTGATGTCCATCTGTATCGCGGTATGATTTGGAGTAAATATACGCGCGTTTCACATATACAAAACATACTACGGTATAGAATGGCATTCATCTGTATAATGGTATAGAATGTAAATACGCAACCCGGACAACAGCAACAACTCAACTATTATTATATCATAATCAAAAATTAGCGGGAAGCGTCGAATGACAGATAACATTGACGCGACTAGTGTAAAAACGAAAAGTACCCAAATCTTTCACTTAAAATGCAATGTTGCAATGCAAGCTTTATGACACTTAGCTAAGCTTGCACTCAAAAACTATGGTGGAACGAAATTATATTTGAGTGTCCTTTAACTTTTAAGGACTTCATAGTTAATCAAAGCTTAGTTATTAGTTTGGTGGAAATGGCCATGAACGAGGCCATGAACAACAAATAATGGAAGCAAATGAAAATGGTTTTGACATAAAAATATTCTGGATCCCAGGACACTCAAACATCAGAGGCAACACGATAGCAGACCAATTGGCTAATGTACCTACGTAGAAAGCTTAGGGTCCCATATCCAATACAATTGGATGTAAAAGAATATATAGGTAGGTACCTAAAAAAAAAAAAACACCATAAAGAAATTTGGAATAATATGTGGAAGGAATTACTAAGCAAAAAAGGAGTAAAATACAAGGGGGTTTATCAGACTTTCCCAAAGGAACCTTGGTTCACTAATATGGGATACATAAATAGAAGACACGATAATCAGGATGAGAACTGGACACTGTCAATACCTAAAGAAGCTGGGTGATAAGGACAGCTCAGCATGTGAGTGCTGGGAGGAGGACACTCTCCCACATAACAAAATTGCATCCTTAGAATGTAGTAAGAATGTTCTTTTTTAAGGAGGAATGTGCCTAGAATATTCGCCAAAACCATTGCGAATGCCCTGAGAATGTTCTGAGAAAAGATTGTAGAAATACTGTTTGCAATACCCAAGAACTTCCTGAGAAATCCATTAGGATATTCCTAGAATATACCTATGAGATTCTCAGTACATCCTGAAAAGAAAATTCTTGTTTGATTCTAAAAATATGCTCGATATGTATAGGTATTCTCACATTCAAAGAATGTTTCTATGACATTATAGTTATGTTCTCAAAAGAATATTATACCAATATGCTTGAAATATTCTTAGAATATATCTACATATATCATTCTCAATATGCATCCTAGACATAACATACTTGGTTGATTCGAAGGATATACTTGGAATGTTAATTTTCGTTTCCAAATAATGCTCCTTTCAGCCCTTTTATATTAAAGGCAGTGAAAGAATTGTTGGAAAACTTCTCTGGAAAACACAAGTATTTAACCAAAGCTCCGGTTTCGAGCTTGTTATGCTCTCGTCGAAGCACGCTAACTGAGAGAAACAGGTTCCAAGGTGATTCAAACGCGAGGTAAGATGTAGATCTTTAATAGCACGCGGCTCCCTCTCTTGGAAGTCCTACAAAGCAAAAGGAAAAGAATATACCTATAATATTCTTAGTTGGTTCTAGATAGAGCATTATTGTTTAATTGTTAAATTATGATTTTTGAGTAGGTACTTCAGATAATTAGGTGAATAATATGAAAATATTCTTATCATGGTAACCTACCTACATAAACTTCTCAGGACAACTTGGTAGGTATATTCTTAATACTTGATAGAGATATTAGCCGAAAGAACATTTTTTAGGGTACATTATAATAATGTTCTTATGACACTATTCAAAGTTTGTTATATAAAGTAGGTTCTTAGCACAATCTTTCAGGTAGGTGCATAGAAGGAACATTCCTAGTACATAAATAGAACGTTCAAAAATGAATATTTCAATCGAAACAATCTTAGAATATTCATTAAACATTCCTAAAAGAACATGCCAAAAAGCACTTTGAGGGAATATTCTGAGAATATGAATGTTCTTTCATTGTTATGTGGGCTAGTACATAAGTTTTTTGAATGCCGTAACCTACAACCTAACCTATATGATATTTTTGTTGCTAATAATGCCACTCTCACTTGACTCAATTCTATTCAATCCCCAACGCAAAACAAATAAACTATTTTCATTCATTCATAACAGTCCCATAACAGACGACATTTCTTTGTGTGATAAAGCTCCCCAGTCGTCCGGAAGCGAGAAGAGTATATCCGTTGTTGTGCTATCTGTTAACTTATACCTCTTCTAGAAAACAAATTGTAGTGAAACTTGAGAAAACTTAGAAGAATTCAGAAGGCACCGAGTCAAACCTTAGGAAAACTCCAGGAAAAAATCAAGGAAATTGACTTATTTAAGCAAAATTAAGGAAAATTCACCTCTTGCATTTTAATTTTTTTCTAGAAAACTAGCAAAGAGAAAATTTGAAGAATAAGCAGAAGAACCTAAGACAAACTAAAGATTCTGAAAGCTATATATTAGAATTCACTACAGAACGGATGAGGGAGCGAGACAAACCGGAAATCTCCTTCAACCACAATTAGTTTTGGCTAGATACCCCAGACGGTGAAGCCATAATAGGCCAGTCATTCCCTGGAAAGGAAAAAAATATATTTTTTTTGTGTATCCGAATAAATCTGAGAACACTTATTGATAGTGGAAGTTGAGGACCATCTAGTCCGTGACTTAAAACTTTGAACAGTTGTTCAAAGTTATGGGAAGTATTTGAAATTTAGACGTTAGGTTATAAAATGTTCTCTAAAAATATTAAACGTTAAAATTTAATATTGCACATACATGTATATTTACTGCTCAATGAGCTCCAAGGGCACCCAATAAACATAAAAAGAAGTCTATAGAAGAACTGTGTGGTCAGATATGAGCTAAAGTTTTCGCACTACAAATTTCCCAGGCTTTTTGGACAAACTGCTCAATGTTTCTAGGATCGATGAGATACATCGAAAGCTCAATGGAGCCAAAGGGATATATTCCTGTAGGATTGGCGGAATGTATATAACGAACAGTGTTTGTCGATATTATAAATAATATAGGCGTGTAGTTAGAGATAGAGAGTTATTGAGCGTGCAATAAGGACAAGCAGTATTAAAATTAGCCTTATTTTGACATCTACGCATGCGCATTCGGGTCTGAAAATAAGGATTCCCTTAATAAGGTTACTGCTTGTCTTTATTTATGTATGGTTAGTGCGAGGCATTAAATTTCCCTTATTTCAATATTTCTGAAATTTTTAACGACTTTGACGTTTCGCTTGTCGACGATGACGTAATTTTACTTAGAGAATTTGTTTTATACAATAGTTTTTCATTTTACTGTAGGTAACATCATCAGATGTAAATCACAAACAAAAATAAACACGTTTTGAGGTTGAAATTTATAAACATAGCTATCAGTTGTCAAAATTATGACTACAAAATAAGGTTATACTCTACACCTACTACAGTCTTCCAATAACTGTTATTTTCTTGGAAAAATAGTGCTGATGCACTAATAAAATAACGTAGATCCTTAATACTGCGAGGCAGTATTTAATAGTTCCAATAACTCTAATATGTTTTTATGACTTTTTGTTCAAAGTTGTATGACAGTTCAAAGAAATAGGGTTTTACGGTACAGATGAGTATAGATAAAGTTTAGGTATCTAAATGCTCAACACTCTATTATAACTACGAAATTTACGGCCACGAGATAAAACGGAAAACAAAGATAGTTGAGAGAGAACTCAAATCAATACAGAATCCGAAAATTCCTGGACCTGTACCAAACTTTTAAAGGATAGTTGTAGTCCTTTTTCATATTTTTATTTCTAACACTTTTTCTGTCTTCGTCGACTTTGTCACATACCTACAATTTTCTCCAAATTGTCATTGTCTTATAATAAATTTTTTTCAATTATAAACACTATTTTAATTTTGTGGCGTTTTCAATTAAGTACCTACCAATAATTTGCTTAAACGCACCTGAATGCAGATATTTGATATTTATTTTCGTACGAATAAAACTGGCCTTTCTATATTATAGGTGCATCTGACCGATTTAAAACAAGCTATGGCTGCATTTTTCAACCGACTCCTTACTTGGAAAATGAGTGTTGTGCAATCAAAATACTTGTTTTGTAAATCTAGTACAGATTCAGGCCATCACTAAAGGCCAAGCTTCAACTACACAATTGTTAAGGCTGGGGTGGAATAAAAAAAAATGTGAAAAAAAATTAGATATCACAATTATTGTTTTTTCTTTCAGGCAATCTCAATAGCTCATTCTGACCACTTCAAGCGCTACGACACCAAAATCAGCTCACTCCCGTTTCCAAATTGTGAACATCTGCCATTTGGCTCAGATGACTACTGGAAATGTTCAGTGCGTCAAGTGAGTACGACTCTAGGACATCACGTAGGCACTTGTAAAATGGGTCCAAGAAGTGATCCAACTGCGGTTGTTGATAACGAATTGAAAGTCTACGGAATTAAAAATTTAAGAGTGGTTGACGGATCGATAATGCCTAATGTCGTTGCTGGTCATACTAATGCTGTAGTTTATATGATTGGGGAGAAGGCTAGTGACATGATTAAAAATACTTGGAGAGGAAAGTAGAAATATAATTTTTTTTAGTGGCTCAAACGTTCTAGTCGTATCTTTAACTTAGTATTAATTTCAGACAATACATTGCCAATTATTTTATATTAAATGACAAAAAAGTAGGTACCTATGTGTTGTTTTTGACTAAATTAAGAAAAGAAGATTTTAGTAAATACTTTAGTATAAGCGAAGTGTTTTCTCTAAATACATGTAAGACGTTTAAATATAATGAAATTCAACTTTTAAGTAGTTTTTCCATTTATTCATTTTATAAGTAATGGAGTTCCATTAGGTAAAGGCCTTCAATACATGTATAATTCAAAATTAATTTGGATTGTCCTATCGTCAAGTATATCGTTGCTCCTTACAGTTTAATAGTTTCAACGACCTTACACCTTAAACTTATAATTATTATATTCGAATTACATATTAGGTAATATTTTCGGCCAACCTGCCTGTTGTTGACCTACAAATTAAGATTTCAATGGCAGGGTCGAGTGACGGAATTTCGGTTTAATGTGTGTTTTTTGCCTGAGGCATCTTGCAACCCAAGTTATTCTTATGAAAGTAAAAAATGATTAATTTATTTCGCATTATAATTATTAATTGCCCCAGCTAATTTTAGAACGGTCCTGATGCCTTGAAAATTCGAGGTCGAATGGCTGAAGGGGTTTCTATTAGATCTGTTTTCTATGTAACCAGACCTCCAAACAATTTGGAGTATCAATTAAACAAAACTGTTATAGCCGTTTTTATAGAATCTCTTCTTATTTGATAGGAAATAAAACAAGACCATTTGACACACTTTATTATAAGGGTGTTCACTTGTACTTGCTCTACCTGCTCGAAAAATCAAAGATCTGCTAGGAGCTGCTATTTCTGAGCTTATATATGGGACAAGTGAACGCCAATCTGCTGCTATGAGATCTGCTTGAAGCAAGAAAAGTGGTACAAATGAACACCCTACAAATGTATCAAAGTCAAAAAGCAACATTCAAAATTACTGGTGAGTACCTTACAACATACCTTTTGAAACAATTATGATATGATAAGGATATACCAGTCTCCCACGTTATTTTATAAATACCTACCTACAAACAAAATATAATTGTTAACAAATAAAATATTTCAAACGTCTTGGTTTTTCTCTGTCTCTGGGATCTTCGAGGACTTCGAGGCCTTTCTTCATAGTTAGGTGGTGGCCCAAAATCAGGGTTTGTTTCAGGGATTTCTACTGGAACTAGCTGGGCTTGACTTGTAATAATCAATGGCAACTGAATTTCGCTATTGCAATCTGGTTTTGTGTCTTCTGGTTCTTCATGCAAATTGGCAAAAGTTACTCGCTTTTTTAGAACTTCCGTTTTCCGAATTTGATCTAATATTTCCAAACTTCCAGAACATTTTATTATTTCCATAAAAACGAACTTGCACTCTATCTCCCAGGCCTAGTTGACAAGGTGAAGGATATTGTTCTTCAATTTTCACATGCTGCATTTGTCGAATATCGTCAAGTTTGATTCGAAAGTGTCGATTTAAGCACATTTTAGCTGGTGAAATGTCATCAGCAAGAGGTCTTGCTCGATACTTAGGTAGAATTTCTTGAATTTTCCTTGTAGGTTCATTACCCATAGCTTTTAATCGATTTTTCAGAGTCTGAACATTGCGCTCAGCAAGACCATTAGTAGCTGGATGGCTCGCTGCGATACGTTTTTGAAAAATTCCATTTTCTACAAAACGACTTGAAAATACTACTCACAAAAATTGTAGCATTATCGGATATCATAACTTTTGGAAATTCATGTGTTGAAAAAATATCTTGTAAAAGTTCAATCGTTTTCGTCGATGTTGGTGCACTAATTATTTTGATTTCTGCCCATCGTGATTTTGGATCTATGACCACTATACAAAATTGAAACCTTGAAAAGGATCAGCATAGTCAATATGTTTAAGATCCCAGTTTTTTTCAGGTAACACCCAGTGGTGCAATGGAGCTTTGGCTGGAGAGGGTCGAATTAGGGCACACGCATGACATGATTTAACCAATATTTTGGATATCTCTATCGATTTTTTTTCCAAAAACAATACTTCCCTGCAAACTGCTTCATTTTTGTGATTCCAATGGGAGTTCTATGCAGTTCTGCTAGCACTAAAGGTTGAAGCTTAGTCGGTATTACAACTCTTTGTCAACAATCTGTCTCTAACCTCAAATCAAAACAAAACAAAAACACAGAGGAAAGACAAACAAATAAGAAAGTGTTTTCAGCTTTTTCGTCTTCAGATTCCAATAAAGCTGAACCTTGCCCGGTAATTACCTACAGTCAGGCTGCAGAGGCTGATGCTTTCGTCCAAACAATTCTCCCACCAATTATTGGACAGAACCAAGCAAAACAAAATAAAAATAGCTGTGCTTCTTCTGGATGTTATTGGTAACGGGGCAACTGCCTCTAATGTTCCCCCAGAGTGTCTTTTTCGGGATGTACCTGGCAAAAAGTGGTTGTTTCTGGGTAGAGTTAGTGAGAATGCTACACTTGAGATGATATCTGATTACATCAAACAGAAGGCTAATATTATAGAGGCAAGTGCTCTGGTTATGCATGAACTACTGTCCAAGGCCAGATCAAAGTCATTTAAAGTTGGCGTAACTGAAACTTACTATGACAGCCTTATAAATAATAGCTTTTGGCCAGAAAATGATTGCTAGACCATTTACATTTAGGAAAAAGCATCATAATCCAAATGAACTTACTCAAAATGGAAATGTTCAAATATCCCTCAGTTATCGTCAGGGGTTCTGAAATTTTATTATCAGAATGTCAGAGTGAGAACAAAAATTAAAAAGGACCCCGCACACTTCTTATGGGATTTTGGTTGAACGCGGAATTTAACCAAATTTTCGTATGTTGTATATTGCAACCTCCTGAGTAAAAGTTCTCATGGGTACAAACCGATCCTATGACTAGTTTCGGATATACAGGGGGTTTTCTTATACTACCTTAGGCAACCTAAGTACCTATATAAAGTGTACATAAAGCAAAAAAACTTGCATGTATTGCTTTAAAAGTTGTTTATTTCATCTTTCCTTAACTAAAAATGTTTAGTAGGTGTTCGTAACTCTTCCTTTATATACCAGGGACGCTCAAAAACTATGGCTATTACTAAGCTAAATGAGTTAATGACCAAAAATGTTCAAAAGTGTGAAAAATTGTGTACTTGTAGGTACTCAGATACTTACGTTTTGCGATAAAAGTGATTTTCTATCTCAATGAATTCCAGTTCTTGCTACGCTTGTGCTAAAAACTTTTTCCCTCATGCACGATTTTTCGTTTTGAAAGTTGTACTTTTCCGCACGATTTTACGTTTCCGCACGATTTTACTTTTCCGCACTATTTTTTTACTTTTCCGCACGATTCTTACTTTTACTGAAAAGTGTACCCATATTAAAGTTCGGGGGCCCCCTATTTGGGGGGCGGAGCCCCGCGGTGACCCCTATTTGGGGGGCATAGTTCCGCGGGGGCCCCATTTTTAAGGGGCACAGTCCCGCGGGGCCCCTTTTTGGGGGGCGAAACCCTGGGTGCTCCTTTTAGGGGGGGGGCGAAGCACCTTAGTTGGGTGGCGGAGCCCCTTCTTTGGGGGCACAGCCCCGCAGGGCCCCCTATTTTGGGTGGCGTAGCCCCGCGAAGGTAGGGAATCCTAAAAAAAAATTTTTCTACTTGCGTGCGCAAAGTAATCACTTTGCGCACTCATTTGCGTGCGCAAAGTTGAACTTTGCGCACGGAAACTCTTTGCGCACTCATTTTTGTTACGCATAATTACCATAGTTATACTTGATTTTTCAATGTTTTGATGGTTTCTGAATAAGCTAATATTCATAATGAAGGGTTCTAGTTGAAATTAGCACTTGGCTAACATGGTGTTTCCTATCAAAGGTGTCCAAATTGGACCAGCCTGTACTGCTAGGAATTTGTACAATTTTTGATATTTGAGAGACTCTCATGAAAATATTTTAGCTGATATTCTAGAAATTCCAGAAGATGTTAAAAGATTTTTGGGAATTTAATTTAAAAGACATTCTAAGGAATTCCAATAGATTTTAAACGATTTTTGAAGATTTTGATTTGATTGATTTTTCTAATATTGTTATAATTCAAAGTCTACTTTTTTAAGATACTTGTAGAAAAAATATTGTTCCTAACACTTGCGCAAAGTGTCTTTCCCGCACTCAAAGCTTATCCTCTAACTGCTTTTTCGTGCGGGAAAGTATCACTTTGCGCACTTGTTAGGAAAATAACTATTGGCCAATTTAGTTATAGGCCAAGGATCATGATAAAAAAATCCGGTTCCATTATTTTTTTGTGTATAAAAAAATCGTGCGGAAAAGTAAAATCGTGCTGAAAAGTTACTTTTCCGCACGATTTTTTTATTGCTAAAAATGAAGATATTTAGGATCAAATAAATGATTTATGTTATATATTATTTTATATTATGTGCTATTTTGTACCATCATTATAAAATCTTTGCGTATTGGAACATTTTTTTTGATAAAAAGGATGGACAGAAGCACTCGTAGGAAAAATATTGTACCTGACTCTTGCGGAAAATGTCTTTTCCACCCTCGACGGCTCCACAACTGGCGTCTCGTGCGAAAAGTACACTTTCCGCACTTGTTAGGTAAATAACTATTTCATGTGTCATATTTCACTTGGTAACCATGGTAACCAAAACAGTGACCCCGTCAATAAAGCGAATTGTCTTTTTTGTCACCTTTCTTGTGAAAATGGCAGTTCGGGAAAGGTAATGTGCTACGTGTGCGATGGAGGACTAGAGTAAGAGTAAATCCCACTGTTTTATTACTGAAAGATGTCGAAGTCCGTAGATTGGCTGTAAAGCGTCGAAACGAGTTAGGATTTGAGGATGAAAACCCTATTGTTGAAAACTCAAGGTGGATTCTGATATTGAAACATAAACAATAACGATTGGTCGGAAAATGAGGTGTCCCTGCAGGTTATAATCACTTTTACAATGCATGAGGTGCAAATGGCATCTGGCGACCAATAAGCGGCATTGTTTATGTTTCAAAATTGACAGTGTCAAGTCAAAATGTATCTTGGGAAAAAATATAGTATATAGTTTGTCATACTTCTATTTGTGTTTGTTTTAAAAACACACAAAGGCCCACCAAAGAAGTACTTTTCAAAATACCCTGGTACATTCACATATATAGTCACCTAACTGAAAACATGCACTTTTCTGTGAAAGGTCTAAACTTAATCAACATTTTTTAAAGCTACCTACCTCAAATAAACACAAAAAGCATGAAAATTCAGTATTTTCAGGTTGCCTGAGGTAGTATTAGAAAACCCCCCGTATATCCGAAACTACTCATAGGATCGGTTTGTACCCATGAGAACTTTTACTCAGGAGGTCGAAATATACAACATACCAAAA